CATTTGCTTGATTTGATTCTTTTGGACCCAAAAAAAAGCGTATCTCGTGATCTTTATCGCTCCAAAAATCTCAAAAGCTTTCAGGTAACGATTTATTGGGTTTTTTTTTTTCATTTCTATCAAAAGCTCTGCTCTTTATTTCCTTTTTCTGGGTTATATTCTCTGAGTCAGTCTTGCTAAGATCCAAAAAGGGCTTTACTTGGCTCTTCTTACTTTAACGAGATCTGTGTAATCCTTTTGCATGAAAAAGATTATGCTAATTTTTGGTTAGTTGAACTTAATCCAAGAGAGCTTGTATAAAGATTCAATCGATTGTCACCTGTATTTGAATTCAAGATCTTGAGAGCTTATTTGTGCATCTATTCACTTTTCAAGATCCGTGATTTTTGATCTTGTCAAGATTGCTTTAGCTGATGCTATTTTTTTGTTTGATGATTAGATCAGGTCACTCTTTTGATGGTATTAGTGAGAAAGAAGAGGTTTCTAAGAATCACAAAATCAAGATTGCTCCATGTCCATGGCCTCCAAAACACCTGAAGGATCACTTACAAATTCCAGCCAAAGTATGTCAATCAACACTTTAGCAGATCAAGTATCTTCGAGCTTGTCTTTCGCCGATCCAAGTAGTGACGGTAAAACCGGTAATAGTAAGATCGTCGAGCAAGGTGAGAGCGGAAAGAGTAGCACGTGTAGACCGAGCACAAGCAGTGATATAAGTGATGAGAGTACTTGTAGCAGCTTTAGTAGCAGCATCAACAAACCTCACAAGGCGAACGATGTGAGATGGGAAGCGATTCAAGCTGTTAGATCGAAGCATGGTGGTTTGGGTTTGAACCATTTTAGGCTCTTGAAGAGGTTAGGATGTGGAGATATTGGAACTGTTCATCTTGCTGAGTTGAATGGAACTAGGTGTTATTTTGCGATGAAGGTTATGGATAAAACCGCTTTGGCTAGCCGGAAAAAGCTTCTTAGAGCTCAAACTGAAAGAGAGATATTGCAATGTCTTGATCACCCGTTTCTCCCGACGTTGTATAGTCATTTCGAAACCGAGAAGTTCTCTTGTTTGGTTATGGAGTTTTGCCCTGGAGGTGACTTGCATACACTGAGACAGAGACAACCCGGGAAACGCTTCACCGAGCAAGCAGCTAAGTAAGGAGAAAAATTCGATCTTTTTTTATTTATGAAACCAATTTTATCTGCGTTTTTTAGGACTGTGTTGACTTCTTTTTACTGTTTTGCAGGTTTTATGTTGCAGAGGTGCTTCTTGCAATGGAATATCTACACATGCTCGGGATCATTTACCGTGACCTGAAACCAGAGAATGTTCTGGTGAGAGATGATGGACACGTGATGCTTTCGGATTTTGATCTCTCCCTGAGATGTACTGTTAGCCTCTCGATAGTCAGATCAACCATTGGATCCGAAGGCTTGTCAAAGAATTCGGTTTCTTGCTCACAACAGCCCGCTTGCATCCAGCAACCATCTTGCATCTCAATGGCTCCAACATCTTGCTTTGGTCCTCGGTTCTTCTCATCTAAATCTAAGAAAGACAAGAAACCAAAAACCGATAATGGGAACCACCAAGTAACTCCGTTACCAGAGCTCGTTGCAGAGCCCACAAGCGCCCGTTCAATGTCTTTTGTTGGCACACACGAGTACTTAGCTCCAGAGATCATCAAAGGCGAAGGACATGGAAGCGCGGTTGATTGGTGGACTTTTGGGATCTTTCTGTATGAGTTATTGTTTGGTAAAACACCGTTTAAAGGCTCGGGAAATCGAGCAACGCTCTTCAATGTCGTTGGTCAGCCTCTGAGATTCCCGGAATCTCCAGTTGTTAGCTTTGCAGCTAGAGATTTGATAAGGAGTTTGCTTGTGAAGGAGCCACAACATAGATTAGCTTATAAGCGTGGAGCAACAGAGATAAAGCAACATCCTTTCTTTGAAGGAGTCAACTGGGCTTTGGTCCGGTGTGCTAGTCCACCGGAGATTCCTAAACCGGTTGATCTTGAACCGGTACCATCTACTCCTGTACCGGCTGCTGCATCTACGAGTGTAAGATCTGATCAAAGCAATTATCTTGAGTTTGATTTCTTCTGAAGGTTTTTGCTAGAAACTCTGATGATTGTCTTATTGTTTCTTTGCAAATTCTGTTTAGTTATTTTTCGAAAAATGTGTTTTTTTCTCTGTTTTTTCTTTTCACGTCTTGAAAAAGTTATGAGATTTGTAATCATTCTTCAAAATCTGAGACAGTCTCTGTACCATCTTCTTGAGTTTAATGTAGACATGAATCATTAAGAATCACAAAAACTTTTCATTGATCTTAACTCATAATCAAACCAGATACAATAACTCGATTCGGTTTGTGTTCTTACCAAGGGATAATATATTATCAACAAGCAGTTCTTACATAAAACCCTCCACTTCTAAAAACTCTTCTCTGTACAGATGAAGAGGAAAAATTTAGTTAAAAGACTGAGATAATCACCATCCTAACGAACAAGATATGTATAAACAAATTGTTTCATTTCAATTGTTTATAGCAGTTATAAGCAATAGCTACAGATGCAGCAGCACATGCAACAGATAAAGCAGCATATGTATCTTCTTTCTCCCAATTCTCCAACCATATTGACATCGCAGCACAAACCTTAAGTCCATAAGATGATCCATTCTCGCTGCTGCTTATCCGATAAGATGCCTTTTTTACGGAGATATCTCTTTCTGAGGTAAGATTCTCTTTGTGGTTCTCCACACAGCAAGGGGAGTTCTCATTTTGTTGGCAGCAACTACCATTAAGCTCTGGGACAGCTCGGGACTGGCAATAAAAACCGTTACTAGCTGATTCTTGAGTCGCCTCCTCCCCGTTGATCTTTTCGGTGGTCAATTGGAACCTTTGTTCTTGGGTTTTCTTCTGTTCTTCTTCTAACAGACCCATTTCACCCCTGAAAAACATATCATTAAGTGCTGTTTAGATACCGATGAAGTTTACAGACTGTCGAAATCAAAGACATTAGATCATTTACCTCCAAAGTCGGTCAACTATTTCACCTTTGTTAATGTGTAGCTCCAACAAAAGAGGTACATCTTCTAGAGTCACAAACCCATACCTAAGAGACAAGAATCACTTAAAACTCGCATAAAAGGGATAAAATATTTCCTTTTTCCTAATTTTCGAAATACCAATTCATTTTTACTACAATCCATTGTAAAATCAGCTCTTGACGTTACACACTCCAATCTTTTTTGTTTTTGTTTTTTTTGTCAACACACTCCAATCTTTTTTATATATGGTATTGTGTTACTTACCAGTGTCCTGTGACTCTCTGGTTGATGTTTAATCCATAAATGATAACATCTCCAGCGTATTTGTGACCACCAATGTGAGAACAAGGGCTAACCGAAACTTCACTTAAAAGACCGTGCAATTCAATTTCTTCTCTGAATCTACTAACCAGAGACGGTCCACAAACCCCACATTGCCGATCTCGGGATCCATGACAACATACAAAGACATATGAACCATTTAGAGATTCAGGATTTCCAGGCAACCACTCAACATCCTTCACAAGAACCTCTTCAACAAATGTGACGACATCAAAATGAGTCAACCTTCTGCAATTTTTTTGTTTGTTTGAAACCGTCAAAAGAGTTTACGATCTATTAAGAAACCTCAAATACAACTTCGACTAGTTACCTGTATCTGATCATATCGGGAAATATCAAAACATCCCCATTCGATGTCTCTGTTCCATCATGACCCTCGCAGATTGTGAGTAGAGTCTACAATTTTCAGAAAAAACCATTAGGAAAGAAACTTAGAAGACAGCAAAAGAGATTTCATAACTGATGCAAGATCATAAGAAGCCACATTGTCAAGTTTGCATCAAAGACACTAAGAATTGAGTATCATCGAGAACCCTATCTAAACAAAAATCGACAAACTCCTAAGTTGCAACACAGAGAATCCCAAATGCCCTCAAGAGAAACGACTTCACAACTCATTGAGATCTTAGACACTCTTAACTAGACCTAAACAAAAAGAGAAATCTCAGTGCCTAGTTCACTCACATTGCAGATTAGAACCGTACCAGAAACCTAAATAAGATGTTCATGAGCGAAATGATTTCACTTTAAGTCTCCCCAAGTTAGAATCACAAACCAATGGATCAATTTACAGATATGAAAAGACCTAAGTCCATTTGAAATCACTGTAATTCTGGGATTAACATCAAACGGAGACCTAATTCTGGGATTCAACATCAAAGGGACTAAAAAGCAAATCACCTCCTTCTTCATATCACTCTTCCTTGCCGACACAACGGAAGAGAGAAGCCTCGGTAACCGATCGAACTCTGACGCCTCGATCCTCGCTGGCCAAACAGAGGGTTTTTTGTAGCACAAAAAGACATGTCTCTCGTAGAACTGTACGGTCCCGACGAGTTTCTCAGGTCCGAAATCGGCGTCGCTAATGCTCTCACTCTCAAAGCTTCCAGAGCGAGAGGTTGATTCGCCGAGAAAACTGTCGAGATGGTTAGATACGGTGATTGGAGACGAAGAGGAAGGTGGGTTTCTAGTAAAGGTTAAAGGGTCGTCTAAATATCTTCCGCTTCCCATTGAATTCGACGGAAAGTTCAAAGTTTTTTGGAGATCGAAACTGAAAGTTTGGAGGGGAAGAAGAAGAAGAGAGAGTAAAATATTAATTTTGTTAGTGAATTATACAAGTGTATTAATAATAATAGTAAATATCTTTCACCATGGTTCCACACGTTCATATATGACGTAATGACATTGCGTTTTATATTTTTTGGATTTTTAGTATTGTAAATTATCATAAGAGTTAATTGGCTAGATAATCTAAAAAAAAATTATAATTCAAAAATTAAGTAAATATCTTTATGTGTTCAAATCTCATCCATTCATTTTAAAGTTTTTTGTTAGTTTTTGAATTATAATTTTTTTTTTTTTGCTATCTAACAAATTGACCCTTACCATAATAGTGACTTAAGTTCACAAAAATAGAATTTATAAAAATGGAAAGTATAGTAAATTTGAGATTTTCATTGATTTGAAGACAAAAAATGTAAAGATAATCGGTGAATAAAATTAATGAATAACAAATACAAAAATTATATATTGTGTGACTAAAAATGAATGAAAAGACGATAAAAAAAGGGAAACAAATGGATCAGTGTATATTGTTTTTTCTTTAGAAGAATCAGTGTATATTGTTGTTTTCTATATTAGTACTAAGTAGGATTGTTAAGAATTTATTGACATAAATAGGTAAGTGATTCGGTTTAGATGAGCTTGGCTACTGTATAAGTGTAGATTAAAGAGGGTCTCATTTGCTGTAGTTACTTGGTTTTGATTATGAAGACATGTCATTATCCTTATTTTTGTTAAAACATGTGTATTATGATTTGTGATGTCTTGCAACACAGTTCAACACGTTTGGTATTCCAAATATAAACAATTTGAAATATAATATCAAAGGTGATCGAGATTGCACCCATTTCTGTAGGATACACATTATCGTGTCTTTTTATTTCATGTCGACACACATAATCGTGTATTATTATATCATTAACATTAACAAAAAAAAGTATGTACATACATAATATTGGTTAAATTTAACAATCTTTTACTATATTTTTATTATATATTAAATAAAAATAAAACAGTATTTGAAGATATACGAAAAAGTTTATGGACGGTGATTAATTAAATGGTAGTAAACTCAGAACATAATAAATTTRTTTTTCTTTAATTTGATTTCCACTAAAAAGAATATTATGTGTGAGTGGACTAGTGAAAACTAGTGAATATTTGATTTTGGTCGTGTCGAAAAATATATCTCAAATTTTATACAACATATACAATACATATATTTTTTTGTTAAAGGGTTTATATATAATACATATATTTTAAGTAAATTTGAAAACAAGATGTAAAGGAAATGTAAAGATCTAAACAATGTAAATTTGTAAATGCGCGCGTAGAATGTAAAATAATTCTACTGTCAACAAATACATATTTTTTTTTAATGCAAGTAAAAACCCTATGTAATAGTGAAAGTGAAACCATGGGGAAAAAGCTCATATAATGGTGAATAAAAGAGAAAAAAAACTCAAGGTGTGTTATGTTTCTATGTATTTCACTGCTAAGAATTGTATTTACATTGGTAAGAGGTGGACAAACAAAAGAGATTCGATACATATAGGTAAGAGGGCATCAAGTGAGACACGAGTTTGTTATAATAATCAACAAAACCTTTCTATTTTATGGGTAAAACATTTGTGTATCGATTGACCATTTTTAAGGTTTTGAGCTTAGAGTTTTATTTGGCAACTTCTAAGTTGGTTGGTGGGATTTGAGGGATGACATAATGAAGGTGCAGATAAAAGGTAAACGATTTTGAATGCAAATGACGTGGGATCAATGTCCGAGACATTCTTTCTGATAATACTATTGTCTACTCTACTCTATTTTTATCCCAAACATTCTTTTGTTGAAAGAGAAAGTGAATTTCCATTTTACCCTTAAAATGCTGATTTTATATATAAAACTGAACAAAAATTCGACCAATCAGAGGAAGCGGAGTTGATATCGGATCTTCTCATTTTCTTTTTGACCCGAGAACGAAAATTGATCCGAAAACAAAAATCAAAAACTGTAATCCACCAAATTTTGGTTAGATCCGTTGAACCTCCTTCACAGCGGTTAGCTTTGACCATCCCGCGGAACTCCTCTTTATGATCGCCACTTACGTCATTAAGCTTGAAGCTTAGATCCGCCGAACAAAAATCGTATTTGAAGTCGCCACTTAGCTCGAGAAAGAAGGTTGAAGCTCGGTGAAGAGGTGAGTTTTATGTATATTATGTTGCGAATTTGTGGTTATATGTATATTATGTTGCAGATTTGTGGATTTGTAGGTAATTTGATTTGTAGAAATTTGATATTGGTTGAATTAGATTATGCATATATCGAGTTCGAGGGTCCTTTGTTGAGGGGATTGTTGAGGTTAGTGAACATATCTGCATAATTTGGGATAATTTGTGAATCCGATTTTTTGCAATTGACCAGTATAACTAGTAATGCTAGTTTAACTAACAGACGTGGTATAACGTGTTAATAATTA